AAAAAAAAAAATGAAATAAAACAAAAGTAAAGATCTGGCGTTGCGTTTAAGACTTTACTGCTGTTGACATAGCGCCTGCTCTGTGATGCTGCCACAGCAACACTTTCCATTATGAAAACTGCTTTGCTGAAAGAGGCACTTATTTAATTTAGGAACTCCTACAGGTTTTGCAACTTAATGAATAAATACCTATGATACATCCAATAATTGACCAATGGCATTTGATATGCTTATTGACTGACGTAATGTACACTCAAAAGTAATATTTTATTTGGATCTCAGAGGAGCTTTGAAATTCAGGAGCCCGAGTATTGTTATATATTGCACTCAGATTCCGTTGTTTGTGAACTTGTAATAGTCCACCTCCGTTAATATCGTAGCACTTCTTTTATACGAAAATACCTATCCACGGAAATACGGTGTAACGACTGGTCATAACTAAAATGAGAGCTACTTAACTAAAATATCGTGTTTTTAGGTTTTGGCCAATGATTAGGATTTTAAGTCTTAATTTTGCCTCCTTTTGACTGGAAATCTGAAATTATAGTCTCCCACTTTGCAAAAACTATTGTGTTCGTAAACAACTCAAGGTGGTAAAAAAGCTGTCCTTTATATTTCTTTAGGCTACCAGATTTTCATTAACTTCGCCATCCGTTTTTCTGTGGGACTCTTTTATCACTTAGTGTCCTCCAAAAATCTTAACAACTGAATAAGCACATGAACAGAAATCAGTTAGGCGTTAAACAATTAATTAGTCTTTTTTGTTGCTCAGAAAGAAACCAAGTCGCGTCTTTAATCACGGTAACCAGCTGCCTGTTTGGGCTTATTCATTTGCTTTTGGCACTTCATTTTGAAAGTAATGAGAGGTCTAAATGACAGATTTTTAATCAGTTTATAGTAAAGACTTCTCGTATTTTCACAAATTGATATTCTTTTTGTATAACCATATACTCATCGAGATCTGATATTTTAGAATCTCTTTGAAGCCAGTATGCCATTAGAACGCAAAAGGAAAATTATTGCTACATCAGTAAGTCATTTTGATGCTTAATACGTAAAATGTACACTTTGGTGCCGTTAATTGACCGAGTGTAGTTTTAAGTTTGCTAAGTTGACACAAAAAAACCATACTTAATCACTTTATTGGTAAAACCATAAACATAAACACCAGGTACACTCACTTCTTCGTTTAAAATAAATCTTTGTGTAGGCTACTATTACTACTGAATTTAGGACGGTCCACCAGCCAAAGACAAGAAGTTGGATGTATCAGAACCTGAAACAGAATCTGATTCCCCGCAACCTGCATTATTAGATCTTCCACTATTAGCACTTTCTGGGGTCATTTCAAACTTAAGTTTTAAAGATCAAGGAAATTTTGAGCGTGTTTGTACAGCAACAAGAAGGGTATGTCTCAATTTAAAATATTACACGCAGTTGTACATTTAGACTAACTCTTTCATCAAACTAGCTGGACTATTCTACCACGTTGCTCTAAAAAATGTATTTTTGGTTTAGGTTAATTGGAAATTCAGTCTATTTGAAATGCTTTGTTTCTAATATGTAATTTGCAGGCAGTAAAATATTTTTGGAAATCCCAAACGCTGTTTGATTATTATGAATTTACGAATCGTTTGTTCAAGTTAAATAACGATTCCAGTAACTATCCACTTGCTTGCCATCACATTGCACTGCAGCAGTTACCACATGTACTTTCGCTGTATTCCAACTACGCTTTACGGGATTTCAGTTTTCGAACGTTGCCACTGTTGACCGCTGAAGATTTGGATGTTATAGTCGCCAGTTCAAATAAGTCAGTTGATAACCCCTAGTGAAAAGAACTCAAAAGTGCTTGATAGGAACGTCGCTTTTTCTTCATATTCTACTGCAATAATAAAAAAAAAAGTAAATTCAGTTCTGGCTGTTAACAACAAAGTTAAACTTCAAAGATTCATCTTGTTTTCATTTTCTTCTTAAATCATTCCCATTTACGTCTTATTTACAGTTAAATCACTTTACAGAAGCACTGCGGAAATCTTTAGTGGAGTTCGAAGTCTTGACTTGAGAGACGTTTGTCTGAACTATGAAGAGTTAAATTGGTTTTCTCTTGCCTGTCCATTACTTTCAAGCCTAAAAGTGACTTTCAATGCAGTGGCCATGGATACGTTGTAAGTTATTTTCAGTTTTCAGTGACAGTTTTCATGTCACATTGAAATTTGGACCAGCTCCAAAAACGAAATTGTAACATTGTTTTTGACCATTAATAACGGTAGTCTAACTTGTCAGGAAATAAAAATAGCGCAGCGCAGTAATGGTCAGAATTAAAGGGCCTGCTTGCCTGCATACCTGAAATTGCTCTTCTATTCTTTCAAAAATTTTCTTCATTCTTGGTAGGATTTTTTAAGGACCCAAAAAATTGCGTATTTTGGATTACTACATTATCCTTTTGACTAGAAAAGATTGATTCCTTACCATACACGCCAGTTATTTATATAATTTACGAGAAGACTAAAAAAATATATTTTCAGTGATTCACTGTTACAAGAATTAATAAAATAACTAAGTAACATTTGTATACTCTTTCTTCATGCCAAACAAAGTGAAGAGGCTCAGTTTTCAACCATCACCAAACTCAGAAACTTTAACGCATCACTTAAAATGTAACGCAGGCAATGCTGCCACCTCAAAACGGCTACAACAGGACAAACACTTTTAGCCCACACAAGGGGGACGATACAAATGAAGCAGGATTGGAAAAATTGTTAAGCAACTGGATACAAAATTATAACACTGAAGTGAAAGACAAAAAATATCCGTTTCAATATTTGCTACTGATAGCATCCGTACACAAAATGTTTCGATGTCTCGGAGAACTAGCAATCAACTAACAAAAGAAACTATTATTTACCGACTTGTCTCATGATTTCTAGTGTAAATGTATTTTGACTTGGGAAAGGATTCTTTGAAGCAACAAAAAAAAAAAAAAAAGAAAAAAACACGTCTATTCCTGTGCTATCATAAGAATATTTCTAGCAAACGCTGTTTACGTTTCGCTGTTGTCAAAAATTTCTTCCTTAGCAAACTTTTGATGAAGTTGATTACAGTGCCTTCACCTCGACCTACTAACTACATTTTAAGGAGCCAGAAACAAAAAAAAAAGTGAACTAACACCGTGTCTAATTTCACGCCAAATCGCATACAATATGTTCAATTGTCACTTTGTTTAAGTGGAATGTATATTTTACTCAACAAACCGTACTCAATTTGTAGTCTTTTCTACTCATTTGTGTTTTAAAGTAGGAGCTATAGGAACGGTGAATTAACGGATGACAATTTATGGCAGGTGAAAACAATACAGTCACCCAGACGCCTTCATATCACTACACAGAAGAACATAAACAACCAAAAAACATATGGGAGATTAGCAGTAACAGGATGAAACTAAGGGCCAGAAGTCAACTACCCACTACAATAATTTAGTTTTGAATTCTTTTGAACGCCAAAACAAACGAGAAGAATACAATTTTTGTCAATTTAATAATATGATGCAAAAAAATCGTCTTCTGACGTTGAATATACACCACACAAATGGCTTACTTCAAAGAAATAATGAACAACATTTTACACATTACAACCGTCACATGTAATTTTAACACAGCTGAAAAACAGACATTTTATTAGAAATAATCATAACTGTCCACCTAATTTTTCGCCAATCAGTTAGTCACGGTCTCCAAAGCTAACAAACAAATAAAAATGCAAATCAAACTAAAAGATGCCGAAACAGAGTGCAACTACAGAAATCTATTTGCATTACTAAGAACCCTGAAAAAAACCACTTGTTAATGGTAACTGATTAATCAGCTAAAGTTTGACTAAATACAGTGTAAATTCTGGGCGCAAAATTCGACTTATTCAACGAAATGTTTTTTGAACAAATTTCATTACATTTTAACTGCAACTATGCGAATAACTCCTACCACTACACAAAATAACAATAACAATTAAGATTAATTAGTATTCGAGCATAAAAATCATGCAAAAAATTAAAAAAACAGTCAGTTGGCTTACAAACGGTATAGCACAAACAACAGATAATGAAAATAAAACGTTATATACAAAATAGACTAAAGTTTTAAGCCATACATTGGAAATGAAGGAACTAATAAAAAGAACCACTCGCTTACAATACAGCTGCAAACAGCAAAAATCTTATATCCTATCAATGTATTTCCACCTTAGATTATGCTTGTCGTGTACTTTAAAACTCATTAAACCACCAGTTCACCTTATTTTAAGCCAATAAAAACTACAAGGAACAATTAAATTTGCTATACAACAGAGGCTATCAAAATATTGCAACAAACCTCCAAAAGCGAGTAATAATAAAGAAGTATAAAAATAAAAACAAAATCTAATAACGAACTTTTTATCAGCATTAGAGAAGCATGGAATAAATGTTTACTAGATTTCCGAAGTTAACGCCTTAAGGTTTATATGACCATAAATGTGGCACTGGCTTCCAGGAAAAATAGTGGGTAATGAAAAAATAAATCTCAAGGACGAGCAGTAAATAGAAGATCCCAGTGAATAAAAAAATTTAGTCAAATGACAAGTGCTAAAACTACCTCACTTTATCACAGGCCCTGTTATGGACCTCAAAACTATGCAAAGCTACCTTCTTTCGCGAACACGTTCGTGAAGACCTATCTTTCCTATTACCAGTTTCTTTCCTTGAACTCAGTGCCTGACTGAAAGACTTGTAGGTAGTCAAATCACAGACCCGAGAACTGAGCAAAGCAATTATTTTTTTTCTAGTTGTGATGAAAGACTCAGTTGCCAACTTTCGTTTATTTATTTTATTTCTTGTCCCCATTTTCCTCACAAAAGTCCCCTGTAACGACGTTCTGATACAGTCCCCTTGACTATGAAGATATTCTATTAAATTGCTAAGCACGTCAAGCACAATTATATGTGAAAAAATTCTCTAAGACAAAGATGGGCTTGCTGCTTCCATCTGTACTGTGAGACGGCCCTGCGCTTCCCATCATATTTCGAACATACTGGAAGAAAAAAAAAACTTGCGGAGAGGTTCCCAAGTGAACATGAGATTATCTTAAATATGAGAAAAATGAACCTCCTTTCATAAAAAAAATCATATATCGGCTAATTATTAAGAGATCATAACAATTAAAAGCCATGTAACAAAGAGTAACTTTCAGCTGTTGTAACACCTTAGCTAGCGAGTATAATAAATACAATAAATTTAAGCCTTCCAAGCAGCATACTCGAGGACAACTTCCGTGCCGGAACAGACTGACGCTTTCTTCTCAAACGTCGACAACGTCTACATCTTTCAGTTAACACAGAATGCAATTTTTCCATAAACAATTATATTTGTTTGCGTCGCTTCTTAGTAAAATCTTTTGGATATGCAAATTCACCTTTCACCTGAAGCACCAGAGTATGTAAATGTCCTAATGAAAAACACGATAGTTAATCAACAACTTTAATATCTCACAAGGAAAGTATTTTACTGATCCTGTAAAAAGTTAACCTGTATCTGAAATTTTTGATGAGCCAACAAACAAACCTACTGTTCGCCCAACCAGACTTAAATTCAAACTAACGACAAACTGAGACCTATCTTCATTTAAGTATTTCAATAAAATTTAAAGTAAAAATGATGCAGAAATCTCCAACTATTAAGGACGGTTACCGCGCATTAAGATTAAATCCTACACATAAATAGTCACATGCGCACAACCTTTAACCAATAAGAAGATATAAAACAAACAAGCGACAAACTTTACAGACAGCGACACGAGTTGCGTAAACGTTTTCCTTATCGTCGCACTCTGTGTGCCCTCTCTTTGTAATACCATTAATCTAAAAAAATTTTTTCACTGTACTCACGTCTAAATGCTTTAAAACAGCTCCTGAGTTCATACCTTAGCTCATCATTGAAAGGAAAAACCGCAAAGCCAATAGCAAATTTGAAGAAACAATGCACTCACCCAAATATGGTTAATAAAGTTGCTAAAATGAATCAATAAGCCCTGTTCCCTTGTACCTGACTATTGAAATCTTTTTAAATTCTGAGCTTGCTTTAAAACTCAATCACTAAGTGACAGCATATCTTACAATTAAACTTCAAAACAGACTTTGCAAGGCTTCGTACCGACCGGGAACATATTTTCTTTATTTTCACCTTGTTCCCCCTCCTTACGCCCCTTTAAAGCAATTTCATGATTCTGAAATTATTATTTTGGTATGAATGCGAGATAAATATGATACTTTATATGGAAAAATTTCATTTACACATCAAGTGTGAGAATACGAAAACTAGATAATAAGATTTCAATTTTTACTTTTAAAAAAAGTTACGTTTTCGGCATTTAAAAATTGCCAAGTTAAAGCGATGTATACAATAAAATTAGAATAATTTCTAGCAATAAAGAACATAGTCTTTCAAGAAAAAAACCGAATAAGAATAAAAGAAAAAAAAAGTTTACCTGGTCAGTATAACGACTGCGAGTGCTACCGTTAACTTTTTTCTGAAAAGTAAAAGAAATTGCCAGAGATTCAGAGAAAAGTATCACTAAAACCATTAGTCACTGATCAGTAACAGCAAATTGATTAAACAATGGGTCTGCTACCAACAATTAAGTTCACTTAAGAATGAACAAAGAAAATCTATGAAAAAACAGGAGATTCATACGATAGTAAACGCAAACCCCTATAAAACCACGGCAGTTATTTGAGCCACAACGACACTTAGTTCCTACCAACCCTTCTTGAAGTTCAGAGTCATAATCGAAAGTAATCTCTTCACCTAAAGTTAATTTTTTAGCTCGTATTCTCTTCAAATAAAAGCTTTTTAAAACTGGTTCTAAAAAGATTGCACCTTTTAAAATGTCCTTGATAGAAATGATTTTTAGGCGATATACTCCATCAACCTGAAAAGGCCCAAAATTCCACCGAAATAGAATTGGCAAACACAGTTTAACAAAGAACTACTCTGACAAGAAGTACTAACAGTAACTACAGCCACTTGACAATTAGGGTCACAAGAATGGTTTATAGTTCTCGCCATGCCACCAAAGTTACGAGCATCCAGATAATATTGAGGAGTAAGCTGAATTCCGAAATAACACATTTCCAAATTATGATGATTAGCCCTTAATTTTAACTTTTCTAAGTAATCATCTTTTGGAACAACGACACCCAAATATTCAGCCAAATCTGTGCCCTAAAATAAGTTTGCATTTAAATAAAAAAACATACTATCTTTTCATAAAAAACTTATGCGGAATACTCTTTGAAAAAAATTCTTCAACTTTCATAGTCATATTACCTTTGAAATATTTTTCTTTGCAAATACTCCGAAACCTTTATACGGCGTTATTTTCTCTTCCATTAACTCTTCTTCTCTCTGTCGTCGGTAATTCCGCAAAAAATTGTTCATACACTTTCCAGTACTCACTTCTCCATCATTACGGCGAGCCATGCATTTCAGAAACAATTCATCACAGTTCTATAAAAAAACTTCGGATAAGTCTACTACTAGTAACCCTATCCTGCTACTCATCAGTACACCGCCGCCTAATAAAAAAGCATTATCTTTTATGCAAACACAATATTACTCTCAGTTCACAAAGTTCATTCATTACAAATCCAATTTCAAAGCTATACAACACCTTTGGGCATTCTGTAGCACTCGCTCTATTGGGGCACTTTTCATTACATCGCAACCCGTTTTCAGGAGCGCAGAAACAAACATCAGCTGAATCCTCTTTTGTGCAAGCTGATTTTCCATTAATATTACTCTAAAAAAAAAGTGCTAATCAAAATTGTAAAACGCTTATATTTATTACAGCCTATCCCAGAACTATTCAGTAAATCTTTTGAAATGATACATTAATGGTTTCAGCTGAAAAGGAAATTAAAAAGAATATGCAAATGAGGAATAAACAATAACTAATTAAAGAGACACTATTCTTGAGATGTCAGTAGAAAAAGCAAAAAGATGAGAATATGGAACGTACTTAGCAGTAAATTGCACAAATTGTGAAGAATAAGGTAAAAAACGACTTAAAAATAACTTCATAAATTTCGAAGGCCAACTTCTTAATCAAAATCCTATCGAAAACAGTCCTTGTAACAAAAAAAAAAAACGAGGAAATGCATTAAGTCTCACCGGCACG